GCTGCTGGCCCCGCCTTCAAGCCCATGATCCTGTCGTCGTCCCTCAGCAGCTCATGCAGAGACTCAATACAAATGACGTAGAGATGGGCATCCTTGCCTAACGGACCGAGTGACAGCAAGCTTATTTGACCTCACCCCATTGACCTGCATCACCATCGAGCTTCCCTTCAGCAGGCTCCTAACCCAACCACAAAATATTATGCCGATTCCCCTCCGTGCCATTCCTTGTAATAAGAATTCCCACCGTACCCTGTTGTACGCTTTTTCGAGATCTATGGATACGAATGCCATGGTCTGACCTGTGCATTGATCTTCTTCCAAGATTCGCTGGGCCAACAGCACGATCGACAGAATCTGTCGGCCCGCCACAAAGCATGTTTGGGTGTGATCTATGATGTGCAGTAAGACCTCCTTCAGGCGGGGTGCCAATACTTTGGTCAGAATCTTGTATAGCGCGTTGAGGATGGATATTGGGCTCCAGTTCCGCACATTCTCCTTAGGTCTTTTCTTGTAGAGCAGGATTATATATATGTCTGCGAAACCCTGCGGGAAGGAGCCCTGTCTCAATGCTTCGTTATATGTTGCTGTCAAAACGGTCACAAAAAAGTTGTGGAGGCCTTTGCACAACTCCACCGGAATACCGTCCAGCCTGACCGCCTTGAGTCTTGGGGAGATCCGCTATCGCCCTGTGTACCTCTTCTGGCTTGATATTCTCTTCCAATTTGCATGTGCTTTCGAGGTCCAGTCGTCTTTGGACATGCTTCCAGATTTGATGTTCCGGCTCCCTAGCCATGTCTGCTGATGTCCACTGCTCTTCCTCTGTCAACAGTTGGCTATAGAAGTCCGTAGCATATTTTAGAATACCCCACATAGTGTGTTGCCTCTCCTTCTAACCGTTGAAGGGTTGATCCATTGCCGTCATTGCCGGCATTGATGTCCGCGTGCCCACTGTATTGAAGAATTTCCGCAACATTTGCTCCCCTACCGATATCCAGGCCGCCTTCATACACCTACCCCATTTGACCGCCTCCTCCCCTTGCCACTCCCTCCACTCTCGAGCCACTTCTGCATGCTCCGCCCACCATTCCTCTTGTGTTTGCTCCCTTCCGGCGCCGGCATCGAGCTCCTCCATCATGTGCGCACATTCCTCCCCCGTCCTTTGGTGTGCGAGTCAGCTGCCCCGCAGCTGCCTGGCCAGATTTGCTCTAAGGTTCTGTGTTGCCGTCATTATATGGTCTAGCAAGTTGTCCTGGGAGCAATTGCTCACCCAATCTTCCCAAAAGTGCAGCACCATCGACTGGAAATCCTCACTCTTGAATACCCATGCCGGGATCAATCTGGGGGGTTGGCCCATCTCCATTCTTCCTACAGGAAAGGTTGCCATTACCACATAGTGGTCCGACGTGGCCATCGGCCTGACGTGTACCTGCTCAATTCTTTCGTTAAGGTACGCTGAGGCCCATATCATGTCTATTCTGCTCCTCGCAGTCGCTGCATTTCCCCAGAAAGCATAGGCCTTCTCTTGCGGGTGCATGGCCCTATAGGAATTGGTACAGCCAAGGCCTGTCATTCTGTGCATTAGTGCAAGTGAGTCCGCATCCATACGCCTGTCATTTGCTGCATCCAGCCTTGGGTCCACTACTGAATTAAAGTCGCCTGCAATGATGATGTAGCCCACATCTGGCACCAGTGCCCGGAGTCGCTCCCACATCCGTTTGCGCTCCCCACCCTCGGACGGTCCATATATTGTGACGACTTCCCACGTTTCCTCCCCCCAGCTGAGTATAACCCATGCCCACCTACCCTTAGAATCGAAATGGGGGGATACCAGGATACACACTCTTCCTCTCGTTCCTTGCGCTGGGGCCCACACTTGGTGCCCCTTCCAAAACAGCATTGGTGCCTGTGTTCGTACTTCGTTCAGCTTGGTCTCGTGCAGGCATACCACGTCAATTTGCTCCACTCTCACTTTCTTCGCCAGCTCCCTCCGTTTAGGCAAAATTGTCCCCCATACCTCTCACATTCCATGTCATCAATTTCAGTCGGTTGCCTTTCCTTTGCAGTCCCATTCTGGCTGTCGGTTCTCCTCCCCTCCTTTTTCTACCCCTTCCTATTGTCCCTTCTACCCCAGTTCTCCTACGGCCCTGCCTACCTATTGACCCTATATTACCTTCCACACTTCCTACTGTCGACTAATTTTTATTGCTGGGGGGGGTGTCACATTGCTCGTGACAACCCTGCAGGATAATTACCCCTCACTCCTCCTGTGGCAGCCTTGCATTGACACCGTTGAGTATGGCGAAAGTAGTGGCGTGTACTACATGGAAGTCTTGAGAGAGGGCCATGGGTCCGAACACCTCTGCAAACTTCGTCCATTGCATGGTTTTGTCCTTTAACCTTGGGACTCCTGGCCTCGTAGGTATCACTTCCACAAAAGAGATTATCACCACATATTCTTGTCCCTCCATTGTCTTTCTGGCGAACCTAGCGGCCGAAATCCGAGGCAGATGTTCCACCAGGTATTTTGGACCCACCCACTTCGCCACTTGTTTGAGGCTTTGAGCACTTGCTGCTCCCAAACATTGTTTGTTTACACAACATTTTTTTTTTCGGTTTTTTTTTTCTATTTTTTTTCAATATTATGCGCCGGGACTGCCGGGGACCCTGCCCACCTCGGGCTGCCCTGGAGGGTACCCGGGCGACCTTCCCACAGCCAGGCCACCTGGGGACCAGGACAGGTATTTCACTCATTTGCTTTGAGTGGAGTTCAAACTCAGGCCTGTGTTTCAACAGTTCAGGGGTGTGCCAACTGAGCTACATCAGTCAGTTACATACAAACCAACTTTTCCATCAATTCATTCATTCTGCCGCGTGCTGCCTTGAGGCTGGAGTACTGCATGCAGAGCACTAACGCTTGAAGGAGGCAGAGCTCGAGCGAGCAAGAGAGCTAGATTAGCCAGCTGTGAAAGAGGGCATGCAGTGTCATAGCGGGGAACGAGGGCTTGCAGCACCATAGCTGGGAAAGTGGGCATGCAGTGCCATAGCTTAGAAGTAGAGAGAGAGTTAGGCTTGAGGGGAGATCATATCTGTGCAGAGAGGTGAGTGGAGCGAGAAAGGGAGAGAGGGTTACCTGACTTACCTGGCGGTGTTGCTTTGCTGGAGCACGGCCTTCTTTCCTCATTTGGGGATGTTGTAGTAGTCAGCCGTGATTGTAGAACTGCGGCAACAGTGAGCAGTGACTGGCGTCAGAAGTGGGAGGAGGCGGGCTGGTTGGAGTGAGAGAGAAACTTACCTTGTGTGCTGTTGGCCAAAGCTGGTGGTCCTGGCATTTGTTGCCTGTAGTGCCCCAGAGCCGAGCTGAGCGCTGGTGATGCCTTCAAGGCAGCATCAGGAGCGCTGAACAGCTGCCTGGCGTAACAATGGATATTGGCGCTGCATATGGGAGCACAGCAAATGCAGTTGGCGATTGTTTGATAACCGACAACGAGCCGCGAAGAACAAGAAAAGTAACCGAATAGTACGGCAAATACCGTGCAATTGCCATGCCTGCCTTGTTGGTCTGGGATGCTTGCTGACCTTGTGCACAAGATCTCACTGGTTGTGTTTAGTAGGTCCTCCTATTGCTCTGTCTGTCTGTTGTGGCTTGTTGCCTTTGTCTTCAGCATTGTCAGTCAGTTGTTAGAAATTATTCGTTAATCCCAAGTTCTTGTTCTGCTTTCTAGATTATTGATCTCTCTACTGTGCCTGCCGCTATGGAGACTCCTACAGCAGAGTATCAGCACCCGTTGCTAGGCAGATGAATGCATGAGCTGGGGCAGTCCCAGCTTCAGTAGTATTGACTCAGTATGGCCTGCCTGAGGTTGCCTTCTTGAAAGGCAGATGATTCTTGATCTGTGTGGCCAGGATTCCGTTGAGGTCAGTGTGCGACACATGAGCTACGAAAACAATACTCTCTGAAAATAGTCTCGATGGCACCTCGTCATCAGTCATGTAATTTAAATCTCCATTCATATGCAAGATCCGATCAATAATCTGTCGACTAGGAGTCAGTCAAGATGGTCGTTGTGGGCTAGAGTACAGAAATGACTCGTTCGAAGAGGAAGGAGCCTCAGAGACTACAAGCAAAGCAGCATCGCAGTGGTCACAAGCCACATTGTTCAACAGTGGATCTGGAAGCTTCCAGAAACTGTCGCTGAGCCTTTGGATCGTGTGTGATCTGTGGCTGAGTTTGACTGTTGGTCTACTGTGCCCGGGCAGGGTGTGGCTGTTGACTTTCCTCAGGCCTGGGTTGACTTTTCCAGGCCCTGGGGGTATCTTTAGGCACTGGGACGTCAGACCTATTGACACAAAGGATGTTTCAGCCTTTCAGATGATTTCTTGCCCTGGACAGCAACTTTGTAACCAGAACTTGAACTCAGGTTGGAGACAAGACCCTATGCTCAAGTCCAAGGTCACTTTGACTCATGTTCCGTAGTAGGAGCAAAACAGGCAAAATTGTCTCGTGCTGCCTGAAGGAATGAACTGAGGGCCAGAAAAGCTACGATGGCCCTACGTTTGCCCGGAATTGGGTGCCGCCGTCACAGGCGCACCCATAATCACATCCCAGATCTGCGCGGCCTGAGTGGAAGACCCGTGCATACCACACTTAAACAATATGAAGCTTCATCTTCCTGCACCTGCCTGGTAGTTGGATGATTCTATATGTAATAATATTATTAATATATGGTACTGATAAGAAACAAGCCATCGGGGATTTCCATTTCCACTTTTGATTTTTGACCGTCAGTTGACAAGTAGCTGATCGGACTCCACAGGGCTTGTGCCCTCTACTTTTCTTCATTAAATGATGCTTTTCTCACTTGAACGATACGAGAAGCCATCTGAGATTTGCATTTTCCGTTTTCTCCTTTTGACTGTCAAGTGTTACAAACAAGTTGTCGATCACACTCACGGACACTAGAAGGCATCCCAAGTGGTTCCACCATAGAATGTGTACATACTTCGCCTGAAAGCACTTGGTGGATATATGCACACAGGCGTGAAGCGCACTCCAGACCGCAGCTGCAGTTGGAAGAGTAGGTAGGGGTGACACGGCAAAGTTTCACAAAAAAAGACGAAATCACACAATACGTAGAAAACAACAGCAAAGGTCAGTCCTACAGCAAATCCATTGTCTGTATCACAGAAGGAAAAGCTCAATCAGACAATCATTACGAATACAGCACAATCTACAAGGTGCATGGACGAAAGCGAACGATTCTTGCCAATTTCGCTCTTTTCCTTAAATTTCAACAATTCATGGGTGTACCAACTGAGCTACACCGGTCGGTCTTCCCCTTTCTTCTCTACCTCTTTCTTTCTCCATCGCTCTCAGTTCTCTTTCCTCCCTTCCTATACACTGGTTTTCTCGCTCTCTTTCCTCCTCTTCTTCCTCTTTGTTTTCTTTCTCCCCTTCTTTTGATGTACAAAGAAAACACGTTTCATGATTGTAAGGGGGGCTGGACCCGGTTTCCAGCCGTTGTAATAAAAACAAGTTTGGAACTCTGGACCATTTCTTGATTTATGCATGTCATCCTCGCACAGGGGCTATGCTAATCTTCTCTGTATCGTTCCAATCTTAACAGTTGGACTCTTTCTCCTTCTCTTTCTCTGGAATTCCCAACTTCTTTCTCTGTCTTATTCCTCCCCTTGTTCCTTCCGTTCCTGCTTCCTCACCCTCCGTCTTCTTCCGGTCCTTTCCCCTACTTTTTGTTTCCTTCCATCCTTTTTTGTTTTGTTTGCTTTTTACACTTTTTTGCTCATCCTCCCCATCCCCTTTTCTTCCTTTCCCTTCCTCACTACGTGAATGCCCGCCCATCACTCTGCTCTCTGACAACATGGAGCTAAGCATGTACGCACTGCTATGGGTGGATAACATGCAGAGGAACTAGTATTAAATGGTTCGCACCCTTGATTGTGTCATCCTTGAAGAGCGGATTTGCCACATATCATCTTCGTTGTCCACGTCGATAGGCCGTGATGGTCGGCCCAGGTCCACGTTCCTGGGTGCACCAATGGGGGACATGTCTGACACATTAGTAGTGGCAGTGCCAGTTCCTGAGGATGTCAATCGGAAAGTGAAGCCAGGGCCTTTGAAAGCGACAGAGGTTCCAGTCACACCGGCCCCCTGCAGTGCAGTTGTGGCAGTCCGTGTTCTGACTCGACATGAGCTCCTCACAGCTGCAGAAGAGTTCCTTGGGGTTGCTGATGAAACTGTTGTCGTGGTTGATCTTGGGGTAGGCTCTACCGTGGCCACGCTGTCTCCATTGGGAAGCCCCTCGGGTTGAGCATTCCTGCTCTGTCTTGCCAGACGGACTGCTCTTGCCACTGTCCGTTTCCGTCTCCATCTCAATCTATTTAATCTCGTTGCTGGTCTTGCTGGACTAGCAACAGGAGCCGCTCCTGTTCTAATCTGCAGTCTATGTTGACTCGCTCGTTGCTGTCTGGTTGCTATCCTTGTATCACTGATAGAAGACCTGGTCATCTTGGTCTGGTTCTGCCATATTGACAAGTCCGTCCACAATCTCAATGGGCAGACAAGACGCACAAACAAACGGAAAGACAACAAGTCAATTAGGTATCGGGACCAATAGAGAGGGGGATTGATAAACATATGCAGAGACAAAACAGAGCAGATGGAGAAGCAGTGAAGGAGCAGTCTCCTTTTCCCAAGACTTTTTCTTTTTCTCTTTTTTGTTTCAAAAAAATTGGACCATTTCTCGTTTTATGTGTGTCATCCTTGCGCAGAAGCCATGCTAATCTTCTCTGTATCATTCCAATTTTAACGGATTTCATTTTGAAAACTTTTATTTAGACGATCTTAACTGTGCAGATTATCATCACAGAATACATGGTATAATTCTCTGAATTCTCGGTGCGATGAACCCAGTTCTCTCAATGCTCACCTCCAAACACATCGCATGTGAAATCCAACGCTGAAAACATTTGAAACTCAATAGACAAGGTGGGCTGATGAGAGGAAAGAATAAGAAGTTGAGAGAGGAGAGGATGGAGATAATTTGATCAATAGTCAAATATTAAAAAGTCGTTCTTCCTGACAGAACTCCAAAACAAGGTGACCAAAAACGGAAAGACTGGGGAAAGAGAGCAGAGCAGGGGAGAGCGAAGACGCCAAGAGGGAGACAATCCACATTAAGAAAGGCAAGTACCGCCAAGCAAATCCTACGAGGAGAGAGGATAGAGGAAGTAAAGGGCGAGGGAGCAAGGGGTGAGAATGGGTGCATCGCGACACACTACGACCTCAGATACGACCAACAACGGAAAGGGACAGATAATGGAGAAGGAAAGGGGAGGGGAAGAAGGTTCAAGAACAAAAAGAGGGAAAGGCGAGTAAGGGACAGTGGTCTTTGCCAAAAGGAGGAAAAAACAAACACCACGGAAGAGAAGGGGGGTGGATTGGCGAGAGATCGACTGTCTAAACAAGGAATAGGGCGTGAGGAGGGAAGGTCAGGAAAGCTTCTCCTCTTACTTCAAGTCACGAGCGACACAACAGACAAACAGGACATCATTCGATAAGCAAGGTGAAACCTTCGCCTAATGTAAGCAAAGGTAAGATCTCGCCTTACAATCCCTCAAAATACCCAAGAAGGAAGGGACATGACCTGCTAGGAGACGAGCACGAATGAGAAGAGCAACAACAATTACCTAAGGAAGCAAGCGACAACAAGAGCGTCTTCGAAACCATCTGATCTCTCCACAATGACCTCAAGTGTGTAGTAAGATCCAAACAGCGAGTACACTTGATACCAAAGATTCACGTCGCATTTGCTTCACTACTATATCCGCAACCCTGGTAAACCACTCCATTGTAACCTTTCATTGCATACAAATGTCGAACAGCAGTCACTTCGATTCGAGGAAAACAATTTTCATCGGCTGCATCTCTAATCCCTAGTGCCTCCCTCACACGTGTGTTGGCCAAAACGCCATCCATCCCAAATCTGATCCCGTTTGTGGATCCCATTCAGACAGCAGTCACTCGAATCCAAACCCAGCTCTGTCCCCAATACCACCCCCCCTCCATAACAGCGCAACCTACCCATCCATCCCTCTGCCCAAACCACTCAGATCCCTCCCACCCACCCGTGCAGGCCATTCTCCCAGGCGAAATTCTCGGATCTCCTACCCACCCCACTCATTCCAAAGCGCACGATCCATACACCACACACCAACCCTCTCTACTCCTCTAACCCACAGTACAACCCCCCACAACCACTCACAGACTCGAATACCCGAACGTGCTTCCACACCTCCCATCCAAGCGCCTACAGGTCGAAAGGGACTACAACCCGACCAGCTCAATATCAAAGAAGATTCTACCAAACAACACCACTGACTTTTCCCACATTGGAGAAATTCCACAAACATATTGAGTGAAATCAACCACACCCACTCCTCCTACCACCCTTTTTTCCACCCATTATAGTGACCTTGATGATTAATAATTGCGAGGAATGAGCCCTCGCAGGGCCCTAATCACACATGCACATGTTCTGGGCTGAAGCCCTCAGCAAGCCATGTGCCCGCCCTAGGTGAAGGCGGGCCTGAATATTCACCAGAGGTTCAGAGGCCAAAAGTTGGCATTTTCCATATGTGGGTACTCAGGCAGTTGCAGCACGCCAGTTGATTGAGAGGAAGCGTGAGCCTCCCTGTGTTGCGTCGTACATCTGGGCCCAGGCCTCGGTAGTTGAGCCTGGGCACACACATATAATGCAAGGCAGGCCTACGAAAAGCAGCATTGTCGACGTACATACCCCGGGTCCTGTGCAAATGCAGCAAACGGACCAAGTCTGGAAATACTGGCCGTGCCCAACTGTAAAGGGCCCAGGCCCTCAACTGCATAGCTGGGCCTGGGCGCAGGCACTGGGGCCTGACCGGAAGCTGCTGGAAGCTTCCCAGCCAATGCAGCCAAACAGAGGCTGCCACTTCCACATAGGGAAGGAGGCAGCCAGGGTCAGCGAGGCTGACCCACGCAGGCGTTGCGGTCACGCTGCTGCATTGCTGCACGAGAGGCTGCGTGCTGCGTTGCGGCCAGGGCGCGTGCGGGCTCTTGAGAGGTGAGGGGGGCCGCTGTTGGGCAGCGGAGCGCAGGCAGCCATAGTGGGCTGCAGGGCGCTAGGGGGTAAGGGGCGATCGGTGGTCTTCAGGAAGGAGGCGAGTGTGGATGGTCAGGGTCTGATGAGGGGAGACGAAATGCGTACCTGGTGCATGAGGGAGGCCGGCCATGGTGTTGACGCCATGTACATTGGTCTTCAAAGTCGAAGTCAGCCTGTTGCGTAAATGCAGATGTAGTAGGATAGGCAAGTAGTGCAGGCTGGGCGCTGGGCGCCAGACAGAGAGGAGCGACATTGGATTCTGTGTTGGTGTGGTCTGAGGGCTTGAACATTGGCTCATGAGTTCATTGTATTGCTCTTTTTTGGATGGAATTTCGGTGCATTTGTGCTCTCTGCTTATTCACGACTACTTGGACATCTGTGTGATTTCGCAACTTGGCTTCATGTATATCGTTCTTACTCATATTCCTTGCAATTTGGTATCGGAGCTGGTTCGTGATCGCCATTACCAGGCGCCGGCAACATTGTTACTCGGTGCACTGACGATGCTTCTGTGCAGTCAGGATACTTTGGCGCTAGCTTGTTGATGCGGAACTCGGGTAGAGGGGTTCGCCGGCGGAAGGCTGTGGCAACAGCATGGGAGCTGTGGCGACAGCGGATGTATGTATGATGATGAGAGCATGCTGATGTGGCATTTTGGCTGAGGTGGCACCGCATTGCGTTGTGGGTGGTACCGAAGCTACGACCGGTCATCGAAATACACATTGGCTCAATTGGTGAGAAATCTGTGGTTGGGGGCAGCTATCTCCAGGTATGTTGTTTCCTTACCTTATCTACCCTCTCAATCTCTTCTTACCGTGAGGAAGTGAGTCCAACCTTGAGTGTCCTCTCTTTCGCGTGAGGAGTCACGAGCACTCTACCTTGAGAGACGGCATTCTTCCCGGTCGCGCATCTGGCAGGAGAGGGCGGTGCCTCTGAAGGGCCCTGGTCGAAGCACGGGCATTCTTCCCGGTCGCGCATCTGGCAGGAGAGGGCGGTGCCTCTGAAGGGCCCTGGTCAAAGCACGGGCATTCTTCCCGGTCGCGCATCTAGCTGGAGAGGGCGGTGCCTCTGAAGGGCCCTGGTCGAAGCACGGGCCACATTCACCATGCCAACCCATGGGAGTAGTACACGCAAGCCATGCTGCTTTGTCCTTTGAAGGCTCTTTGCTGCGCTGATAGAAGGGGTGTACGGACTGATCAGTCCTATGCAAACGCTAACCACACCATTTATAAATATTTTTGGCGGGGGTCTGAACTGTCCACTAGATGTGATCGTCGTCCTGATTGCGACGTTACATAATTCATGAGGACCGCGGGGGGTGTCCTTAAACTGCCTCTTGATCAGCCAGATCAGTCAGACGTAAGGCTCGTTGCATGCGAGGATAAATAACGGGCAGTTCTGGTCATAAGCATATGCCTTGGGCACAGGGGTGGGCCGTTAATGCACACCTTAGACACTGTTGCTCGATGATGGCTCCAAGCACGTTGGATACAGGGGAGGAAGATTCCAATTGAGACTCAACTGTACATCACAACCATTTTCATTGTGCATACACCTGCTCACATAGTTTAATTTTATTTTGATTAGTTGGTTGACAGACTGCTAACACCTCACAGACAACCTAGACTAGGACTGTAATGCCCCTCACCCACGGAGGCTCAAATTGACTCACAGCCGACGGTCTGGATCTTGTACAGTTACAGACTTCCACTTGGACCGAATGCTGCCTCGATACCTGTGTACAATCAAAAGTGTGTGTGTTTGACCAATGGCCTGGGCTGGGTTATGCAGACTTTGACTCATGGGCCGTTGTACAGTTGACTTCAGTCAATTGTCGGGTGCAGGGCCCCTGAAGCCATTTTCCGGGGTTCTTTACCCCTCGGGCAATGCGGCCTCAGGCCGGCGTCGGGCCTGCGGGTGGCCCCTTACACAAGCAACGAGGCATATTAGAGCGGGTTATTGCAATTTTCCTTCAACTGGAACAAAACCCTCTCAAAGGTTTCGAATCATTCTTCTCCTCCCTCATCAGGAAAGGAATCCTTTGGGGATTATGGAAAAGAAGATGCAACAAAACCTTCGAAGACTACCCCACCAATCCCGAGGACCCGATCATCACTATAAAACACATAATAGAAACAGAATTGCAGGTGCAATGGAAAAAAACTCAAAAACAAATAAGCAGTTCACCGGAAAAAGAGCAGAAACAACCAACAAATTCATAACACTAAAATTAGGCTCAGGACAACTAGGAACAATAAACAATGACACTCTAATCCTTAAGAACTGGTTAATCCCACCCCCTCTTGTACCAGTGATAACCCCAATCTTCTAGCAACACCACTGATCCCATCACAAACCAACCCGAGCCAAACACCCAACACCCATCTTCCGCAGTCTCTACAATAACCACTGTAATTACCCCACATGGCCCACCCCTCGAGCATCCCCCTCACACCACTCCACCAAGGCCTCCCTCCACCCAAACACTCCAACCGCATAAACGCCCTCCCCACACACAGGGAGCCAGAACCCCAGGAAAACAGGAAACAAGTTCAAACAACACATCAATTCACACCCCAGCCAGCACGCTCTCCCCCCCCAACAATCAAGCCCCCCCAGCACCGCTTTTATCCCTCCAGACCAATACTTAAACCCCTTATAGTCCAGCCTAAATCCCACTAGTCTTTGCTCTCCACCAGACACAAAATCCTGTCAACTTCTACATTACCACAAAAGTAGGCCATCCCCCTTCCATTGAGTGTAGAATTCTAAAAAGCTGTAAAACAGTAGGATAGGCTTCATGTACCCAGCAAAGAGCGCAGTAACCAATTCAGATAGGGTTTACGGCTTTAGATAAGGACACCCCATAAAGCCAAACCGGTTGTTCCAGCGAGAAAGAAAATCCACCAACCAAGGGACTGTGAGTAGCAGATTGGTTAGACCACAATCAACCAGACTACAAGGCGCGTTACAGTGAGGAAACCAGATAAGCATTCCAGTTCTAAAGTAAAGTAGCTCAGGCTAACTTAGGCAGGGGTGAGGGATGCTACACCCTTCCCTCGGGAAGTAATCAATGTCGTCCATCGGACCTCCACACCATAAGGGGGAGGGGCGTGGGTGAGTGCTTATTGTAATCTTTTCTGACTTGCCGGTGATTAGGAACTGGACTGATGCTCCCCAGAATGGAAAAGGAGCCAGAGCCCTAAGGTTCTGTTTTCATTAAAAAAAAAACTCGTTCTTCCTGTCTCATCAACAAGTCATTCTCCAGGCGACACCCAACACTGCTTCTTCTGTTTCACCACACCCCACCACAATGTCTCTCCCCAAGTAATCCCGCAAGCACTGTTTCCTCAAAGCAAGCGCAAATGTATTCAGGACTTGAAACGACAATTTAGCATATCTAAAGCAGCAATGAAGTCACCAACAATGCAGACCATCAGCATGAAATTGCCATGAATACACCAGGTCACACTCTCCCACACACCATATCTCACCGCCAATCTTCTGTCCTCGCTCTCTCTCAAACTCAATTTTTTATTTTATTTTTTTGGGACCATTTCTCGATTTAAGTGTGTCATCCCTGCGCAGGAGCCATGCTAATATTCTCTGTACCGTTCCAATTTTGACGGACGTCCCGAAGGACTCACACTCAAATTCTATGGACTGCAGGCAATTGCCATGAATACACCAGGTCACACTCTCCCACACACCATATCTCACCGCCAATCTTCTGTCCTCTGTCAGCAGCCTCTACTACAGCTATGGCCGTGGGCAGCCTACAGTACAGCTATGGCCGCAGGCAGCCTACAGTACAGCTATGGCCGCCGGCAGCCTACAGTACAGCTATGGCCGCTTCTGCCTCCCACCACTTCTGCCTGGCGCTATGAAGACTCCTTCAGCGCATGAGTATCGGCGTCAACTTGCCAGGCAGAAAGTGCATGCAGGAACTGGGGCAGGCCCAGTATTTTAGAATTGATTGGGGCACGATGTGGTAGCTCAGTGGTTGAGCTCTGATGTTGCGACAGGGAGGTTGCACGTTTGATTCTATCGGTCCTCAACCTCCCCTGTGCATGATCAATTGGTGCTAGGTTGGCACCCCATGTACTTGTCGCACAGCCTAGTACAGTGCACAGACAGATCATATGATGGAGTAGCTCAGTGGTTGGGCTTGGGTGCTGCACGGGAGAGGTCCACGGTTTGATTCTCATCGGCCCTTGCATCACATAGCATGGATATAGCTGGGGTGCAGACAGGGATGGCCTGGTAGGCCTAGTGGAGTACATGATCACGTAATGGTGGGTTACCTTGCGGCCTTGCTTTTCGAGGGTAGGGCCGCAGGTGGGCTGGGTTTGGGGACTTTTTAGTGGAGGGTTTGTCTGCTTATCGATAAAGAGACCAGAGTAGGCCCAGTTGATGACACAGGTATAGAAGCGGATGGTGGCCGTGGACCCCCTCATCACCGAGACTCGACCTGCTCTGGGTGATGACAAGATAGAACTACAACGGCAGAAGGGGACTAGTTGATGACCAAGGTCTAGGAGCGGTTGGTTTGTTAGGGCGCCATGGGCGTGTTCCTGGATTGGTAAGAGAGGCTAGTGTTCCTCCAGATGACAAAATAACCAAGAAGACAGAATGACTGCAGGGGTCTAGTTGATGACTGAGGTATTGGAATGATTGGTTGGTAAGGCCGAAAGGAAGCCAGTCTGGCGCCCAAACGCAACCTGCTAAAAGGAGGGAACCGGCAAAAAATGCTGAAGGGAAGCCAGTCTGGCGCCAAAAGTACCCTGCTCCAGACAAGGAGGGAACTGGCAAAAATGGAAAAAGGAAGCCACTCTGGCGCCAAAAGAAGCCAGTCTGGTCCTAAGACGGATGTCTACAGCATAGGCCCTATCATGGGCCGAAACGACACTAGACTTAAGCAGACCCTAGAAACACTACTAAACCCCTAACCCTACCGGCGGGCCCAATGGGGCCCATGTGGGACCCGCGGAATGCCACACCACCTCAGCAATGCATGCTCTCCTCTGACATCTACTGACATAGTCACCGTGCAAATCTCAGCGGAGCTCCCATCCTCCTTCAGCAGTCAACATCGAGCTATGGAGGATGGCGCTGTCCTTCCTCACCTTCAAAGGAGACCAGCAGCAGATTAGGTACATTGGCGCCAGGTAAGTCCAGGTAAGCTTCCGCTCAACCCTCCCATCATTCTCACTCCGCGGATCCTCCTCCTACTCGCCCAACCTCATCACCTACAGCTATGGCTATGGCGGCTATGGCCACTCCAGCATGTCCTCAACTAGGCTGGCGCCTCCAGCAGCATCTGGCACCAGCATCTCCCAACACCAGCCTCGTGTCCAGCAACTTGGCCACAAGTCAGCGCGAGGCAGAATGAGCATCCCCTCGGCCAGACCTTCTCATAGTGTTGACTGACGTTGACCAGCCTCCTCTTGGACCATGTCAACGACCGAGATTTTCTGAAGTCAACGGCCTGGATGAAATGCTGTCCCAGATGTGTGCATCTGATCTACGGCCGTGGTTGACTTACTGGGAGACTGACATTGGGCCTGTATTTCCCGTTCAGGGTCTGACTCTTTTTTCTTTTTTTTTCACAAAAGGGCGGCCCTGGTCTACTAGGCGGGGGATAAAAGCAGCCTCCCTGAGTAGGCCAGTCATGAGCTGCTCCATCTATTAGTGGGCAGCATCACTTGCTGGAAACCAGGTCCAGCGTCCCTTACACGAACAGAACTTGAGAGTTACATGAGACTGTGTTTCTTGTCAATTCTTGTTGATCTCGGGGATCGTTCAGCACCTCTTCAACTTTCTGCACGGCGCCAAATTTTGGCTGCTAAAGCTAGTGATATGTTTTCTAGACCAACCGAGCTCCTCTTAGGATCTGTGATAATGCCAAGCTGTTCCCTTTGGCTTAAACCCTAAACCCTCCTTCATGTGCCCCAAACCCCTTTTTGCTGATAGACCGTGTACCGCGGGCAAGTAAACCCTGAACCCTCCTTCATGCGCCCCAGACCCCTTTTGCTGATAGACCGTTCCCCGATGTACCGGGGCCTTTCCCTTGCCTCTATTTATCCCTTTTCATCCTCATTCTATTCCATACCACCGCAATTCCCCCAGAGATTGTGCGGCGGAGGGAACTGGTCTGGGAGGTCTGAATCTTGATTTTCCAAGAGTCAACTGTAACTCGTGGGGGTACTGGACGCAGCTTTTGACTCAGGGCCTAGTACCCCTTGACCCGAGGGCGACCTCTAAGGGGCTCAGGATTGGACTTTTGACCCCTATTTCTGGCCTTTGACAAAAAGTCACGACCCTGCCCTTGACTCATGCGGATAGTGAACCGATTTTATTGCACAAAGACCATCAACTAACCAAACACAAACGAGATGAGTTCTTAAACAAAGCTGTCGTGGCAGCAGCCTGTCCATGAGAGCTCCTGATTATTGTTTTGCTCGAAATCGAAGTCTGCCCATCCTCCTGAGCCGTGATGGAGGAGCAGCGAGGACTGTCGTCAGCACGTGCTTCGGATCTAGCTTGCACTGGAGTGGAGAGCTGATGCTGTGAGGCCGGTGCCACGTAAAACGTTAGGGTGGTCTGCTGCCCCTTCCTCGCCTTCTTGGCAGACGAATTAGCCGGAGCACTGTCATTCATCTTCTTGTCTGTGCGGATGTGCCGAGAGGGGAAAATGAGTCTCACCATGGTCTCGGCCATTGCTGTCCGCACCTCGGGTCCAAGGAACCTCCTTGCTGCGAGCATGAATTAGAGGCAGTACATTCCACTGGATCAAAGTCACCAACCACTGGGAGCTTCATGTTGTCGATGGTGAGGTGACTGCTTTTTCATCAGATTTCTTCATCTCGTCCTCTGTAGGGTTAAAGGTGTGAGATCCCACAGCGTATCATCCACACGTCTGGACTCCGACTCTATCCATCTACTAGGCACAGTGGGGGAAAACGGATTCTGGGTGAACTCGTTGACCGCAAGTTCTGATTGCTGCAATCACCCTTGCCTTCTCCTTCTTGCTATCAGCTAAGATTCTGGCGATAGATGTAGAGATCTCCAGCCCAGTTTACATGCACACAACAATGCATGGCTTGTGTTTCTGTGTGTGTGCCTTCTTCTAGTGCAGGCTTTAGTCTCTCCTACTGTTTCTTACTAGTGCAGGCCGGTAATGCTGATGGCATTGCTGCTTACCTTTATATTCCTGCTACAGCAGTATCTCCTGTTGCTGTCACTGTTGTTACAACTTTCCTTAGCTCTCTTTCGTGCTGCTGGCTGCTGTTGTGGCCGGCTGCCAGAGCCTGTTCCTGCTCCTTCATGTTGCACCCAGCAGCTCAGGTTGAATGACACTCCAAACTGTCAGCAACTCCCAAGTTGAGAAATATTTCAATCTCATCCTTTAGACAATAGGGCAACACACAGGGAAAAAAAAGGGGCAAGTACGTTGATGTCACTTTTGAGTATCGAATGAGCAAAAAAAACATGTGCAAGCAAAGAAAACAGGCCCCGAGTTTGAAAAAGCAATGAAAGTACCAATGGCCGTGGTGTCAGGCCGAGTGCCATGCCTACAGGGGTTGGCCATGGTGTGAGACGGGGAAAGGGAAAAAAAAAAAAAAAAGCCCAATTGATTCTTTTCTACCCAAATTGCCGTTTCAAACTCAGGCCGGGATAGCTTTGTGGGCACGTGTTTTTTTGCCTTTGCGAACTTAAAAACTGCCGCGTCAGCCGTTGTTTCAAAAAAAAAGAGAGAGGGGGGAAGAAAGACAGAGAGAGCCACCTCACAGCAGTAATTCACGTCAGGTAAACAGGTCAGTCCATGTACATGGGGTGTGCATGTTTGCTGGTACTGCTGCTGCTGCCTCTGCTACTGCTGTCGCCCCCTGTGATCTGCCCGTCATGCAGCTCTTCCCCATGGCACCAGCAGGTAATGCAGTGATTACTGCTGCTTACCTATTTACTCTTGCTGTTATTGCTGCTTCAGCAATGCCGCTGCTGGTGCTGTTACAGCTCCCATCCGTGCTGCTACTGTTGCTATTGCCCTCACATTGTCTCATAGGTGCTGCTTGTTCGTGGTGGCACCGGTTGTTGCTGTCTTTTCCTCCTGCTGCACCGAGCAACTCAGGTCTCTCTCTCTCTCTCTCTCTCTCTCTCTCTCTCTCTCTCTCTCTCTCTCTCTNTCTCTCTCTCTCTCTCTCTCTCTCTCTCTCTCTCTCTCTCTCCTGAAAGTTCGATGTGACAGTATGTCACAACCCGTCGTGTCCCGTCCTTTTCTCCCTTTCTGGCTGAGGTTACACCAGGCGGTTTTGGAGGAGAGAGGGGGGGAAGGAGGGAAGAAGAACAGAAGTGGGGAGTTCACCACCTTTTTTTTCGTTTCTTTTTTCCTCAATATACTTTTACTTTCTTTTTGTTGGTCTACACACCCGTCTGCTGCCAGGAAGCACACTACTGTCTTCCACTGGATAGAATGTAGGGTCATTATAGCAAGCACACTACTGTCTTCCACTGGATAGAATGCACGGTCATTATAGCAATGTTTGGCCGAACTTCCAGTCCAGATGCAGTGAAAATGACGGTATGTTCTATTCAGGTGAAGGTGGTAGCTCCATACAGCGACGAAAGAGATAGGAGTCCATGCAAGGGCATGGAGAAGCAGCATGAGAATACGTGAGAAGCAGGGTTAAGCATTACGGTAAGGTAGCCTTCACCGCATTTAGGGTAGGAAAGAAGCCGATGGTGTGGGTAATGACAGAGTAAACCAAACGCACAAGTGTCAAGCATCAATGCAACAGTATGCTGCCAGAAACCATGCCCTGAAAACATGCCGGTCGTGGACAAGAAAAGGTTCACCGCAGGACAGCAGACATTCACCATACCATCCTTGACAGCAAATTGGACATGCTATGCCTGGATGTAGGGGATGTTCACAGTGGGGGGAATGTAGGATAGTGCCCTAAGCACCTTGCTAACACAATCATCCCATCATAGTGTTGCTGGCCAAGGACCACCAAGCCTTCAAATTTTCATCTTTAACTCCATCACCACACCCCTTCTTCATTTTTTCTCATATCTTTGTCTCTATACCATATGTAGGCTACCAGGGAACACCCACCAACCCGTACCTCTCCCTTACCCATGCGGGAGGTTTGCATTGGCGCGAGAGCGAAGCTGTACCGGCTTCTCATCATACCGATATACTGCTGGGCAGGTGTGCTAGTGTCAAGACTGTGACCAGTCCCTGCGCCTCCCCCCTTTTCCCCCACCCAGTCTGCAATAGTGGTGTCTAATAGCCATCAATTGTTATCTGCTGAAACACAGGATGCTTCAAAACACACAAGGATTTGCTCGGAAAAAAGAGATTCGTCATAAATTAGCGCTCTTCTCATTTTTGTTGGTGGTGAATAGAGTTGTTGCATCATACCCAACAATATTAGCTAAGGTCCTGATAATGGTGGTCTGGTGAGCAAGCAGATTATCTCGAGGTGGCAGGGCACCAAGAACGTCCAGACAGGTACGCATGAGCAGTAGGAAGTGAACCCACGACCTCCTAAGTGAGCCGGTTATCTCTAGGTGGTGGGGCACCAAGCACGGCCCGGCACGTAAGTGTGAACAGTAGGAAGTGAACCCATGACGTCCTAAATGAACTTGTGTGCCCTACCGAGTGAGCTACACATGTTGACCGAGCCTGCAAGTCCAAGTGACTTTTCTGTGGCGTTGGTACTATTGCAATCCATGGAAAAAGGGCAAATTGCATCTGTACCCCACTTAAAGATGGGAATACTGACTATACCCAGTCCCAGCACCAACTCGCATCTATACCCGGGCGTGTGGAAATTGCCCAGGACCGAGGTGGACCCAGGTGGTTGGTACCGCAAAATTGCAGTTATAACTAACTTCCAGATGCACGAGTTATGGACATACCTGGGCAAAATTATGGGCATGCCCGGGACTGTGGTGGACTGGCCAAATTTTTCATATACCCTGTTCCCGGATGGCTGAAATTATTATCACACCCCACAGCTCTTGGGCGAGAACGGTCCACTTGGTGGGTATGGGCATAATTTGGCCGGATGGCTGAAATTATTATCACACCCCACAGCTCTTGGGCCAGAACGGTCCACTTGGTGGGTATGGGCATAATTTGGTGGTTGGCCAGCCGATGGCCGCCACTGGGCGTGGGTACACCCACAATTTTGCTGGGTTTCTGGGCAAGAGCATAATTTCGTACTCCGGAACACAGGGCCTTCAGGATTCAGTAGGCCGGGGCATGAGCATAACTTCATGGTCTCGAACAGAGCAGGACTCCATAGGACTACAATTTCACACAGGGGAAATGTTGGGGACCATGCAAAGTTGAACGGGGTCCTGGGAATAGACGCAAGTTCGCACTGGGACAGGGTATAGGGCAAACCTGGCCCAGCCATAGGCCGCCGGGTTTCAGGCAGGCTGCGGGCTACCGGACCACAATGGCTGTAGGCGCCAGCCAAAGGAAAACAAAACGTGGCCGTGGGGGTTGGTGACAACTTGGCACGCAAGGTGCTTTGAGGCTCGGCATCGATAGCTGGGCCAAGTGCAGGTGCGAGAATAACGCAAGCGTCGTGTGAAAAATGTGGGCACGGATGCGGCGAGCCTGAGCATGACGCATCTCAGGCCATACTCACACGAGGACTCTCCTGGACGTATCTGACCACGAGTGCGACTTGTATACGTCCGGCCGCAATTACGTCCAGATATCAGTTAAAAAAGCCCTACATAGTATGCTCTCAAGCCGGCGTTTCGTCATTGCGAACTGCGGAACGCCAACGGCATATCCCCCCCCCCCGCCCCCCGCTCTCCACCCGCCTCTCCCCTTGCGCAGTGTAATCATTATTATCTCGACATATCTTCTGGATCTTGCCGAGGTGGATCATTATCAAGATCGAGAAGGGTCTGCCAAGGCATCAAGTTGGCACGGAATCGTCAAAAATCATATGCCGTATAAAGATCACCGACGTGGACCTGCAGACACGTGTTAATAGAACGTACTGTCAATATAGCGGTATTTGGCTCACCTTTCAGTCCAGATGCAACGAAAATGACTGTACGTTCGATACAGGGGAACAAGGTAGTCCGCCGATTCTGAAGACCCTTGGATAGTCCCGATCTGGCGCATTACTCACATGTTCCTTGTCGCCACAGTGTCAATACCTTGCGATTGCAGCTTTAATAGCTCTGCTTTACAAGCACTATTAAGGAGTGGAATCTGCCTATTGTACCAAATCCCTGCAGAATACACGTTAGTACTCCATTCAACATGTGCAATCCAACATACACGACCTGAGGAAGATACGTGACATAATATGGTGTACGTTGCTAGGTATCATGCCTGCCATGCCAGGGCAGGATAACTCCTGGTAGGGGTAGGAAGAATCGGAGCAGCACTTTGGTTAGACAGATTCACCGGGCAGCTCTCTCTCTCTCTCTCTCTCTCTCTCTCTCTCTCTCTCTCTCTCTCTCTCTCTCTCTCTCTCTCTCTCTCTCTTAATGTATTTGCCTGTCTATCCATCACTTACAGGCACGCACGCACCCACGAGCAAGCGCAGGAGCGCAGCGCGCGCACAACACCCACTCATGTAGACGCGCGTATCTATAGCACGGCCAAATGCAACTGGCCGAAGTCGCCTCCAACGAATTGATTGAATCGCCACTTCCGCAAACACTACGCTCGATATTAAAGGCTAAGGAGGACAGAGAAAGGAAAAACGATCCAGAAGAGAAAAACGTTCCCCGCATTAGCGACGCGCGAGATTCGTTACGTCAGTTCTCAACGTCCCTTCAAAATGCAACAAGGGGACTGCATTGCTCGTACACACAACATCGTGAAGCTCAAGAGGGCTGCATTGCTCGTACACACAACGTCGTGAATCTCTCTCTCTCTCTCTCTCTCTCTCTCTCTCTCTCTCTCTCTCTCTCTCTCTCTCTCTCTCTCTCTCTCT